ACTACAGCGGTCCGCTCAAAATGTCTATATAGGTCTACTGAAATTCTGCTACAGCATGTTTGCTGGATAGTTGCCAATAGATTCAGTGAATGGCTGATATATGTTTCATGAGATGGCAAAGTAATACTCTTGGCTATGGACTCATCATCATTTTTCAGTTTCACCAGAACATAATAATGATGATGATGATGATCATCATCATTATTATGTTCTGGTGAAACTGAAAAATGTCTCCAATATTAATCCCAGCAAACACGATATACATTAATTTTATCCACATTAATTTCATCCTCCGCTAATCTCCTAGTTTAATTAAATTAGTTAAAATTGTTGATTCTTGCAAAATAATTTGATAATTACCCTAATGAAATAAAGGTAGATAAATAAAGTAGAAATAATTCAAAATAAATAGCGGCAGAGTGACACTATGACATAACAGTTAGTTTAGTTGTTCGTGTGCGGTTTTAAATGTTTTAAGCGGTATTTGAAAAACAGGTTTAATTAGTACAAAATACAAAATACTAATCAAAAGTATTTTAATTACAAATACTAAATACTTTTAACAAAAGTATTTAAAATACAAATACAAAGAAAGTAATTAAAATAGTATTTCAAATTTCCATGACAACAAAATATATAATAGAAATTAAAAAAAAAAAAAAAAAAAACTGATTATAGAAATTATCAACATTTGGTATATTTTTTCAACAAAAAGTAGAATAAACTGGTTTTAAAGGTTGAGAATGAATTAAGAGCTTTTAGTTCATAAGGATGGTTATTCCAAGAGTTAATGCTTTGATATTTTATAGATTTATGCCCGTAATTATGAGAATGGTGTTTAAAGACAGAGAGATTTAAACTACTATAGGAACGAAGGTGATAACGAGTGTTGGTACTTTTCAAAAAGAAATTGATGAAAGTTAAAGGTAGGTTTAGAGATGTGACGCGTTTTTTTTGTTCTTATTTTTTTGTTTTTTTTGGTTGTTTTTTTGGGAAAAAAACATAGGGGTACGTTTTTTTGGTTTTTTTGGGAAATATTCAAAAATTCATTGTTTAAGTTACTAAATTTAACTTTAATGGCAGTATCTTAATTCATATTTTAATTTCTGATTTAAATAGGACAATAAATACTAAAATTTACTGAATTAACTTTGTTTTGGCATATTAACACAGTTAAAGGTTAACACGGTTGAGGCAGTCCTGTATAAAAACTTCTTTGATAATTTTATCTTCCTCAATTTTATCTTTATTGTTTTTAGTGTATATTGACACAATAAACATTATTTATTTATATTTAATATATTTGATAAAATTTAACAACTAATGAATGAAAGAGTCAAGCGAGAATGAGTTTTTATTAATGGAACTAGAAATAATAATTTTTTTGAGCAGCCACCATGATAGAATTTGTAGAAAAGAGAAAGAGATGCAACTTTTTGACAATAGGAAAGAAGCTCAAGCTTAGCAGATAGAGCTTGTTTAGAAATAAAAAGGGCATCATAAGAAGAACCAGCCCAAATATGACAACAACATTTCATATTTGTAGAGGTAGAGAATGAAATCAAGGGTAAGAAAATGATGATAATGATAAAGAGATGCTAATTTTGCAATAGATTGTATATTTTGTTTACATGAAAGGTTAGTAGCAAATAATATTTCAAGAAGATGTAAAAAAAAAACTAGAGTAAGAGGGTTACCATTAATTAATATAGGAATGCCGACAGTATTGTGGTAGTTGTTTGCAGTAAATAACGGAGTTTTGTTGGAAATAAAATTTATAAGCTAAAATATGTGAGACCCAATCTGTGAACAGATTGGGGGTCACATATTTTAGAATTTTTTTCTTTTTGATCGCTTAGAACAGGCAGCCAATTTTGTATCAACAGATACAAAATTAGCTGTATCAACATTTGCTAATTTTGTATCAACAGATACAAAATTAGCAAAATTAGCTAAGTGATCAAAAAGAGAAGACTTTTTTGTCAAGACAGGAGTAAAAAATTGAGCCATCAGCAAAAAGAGTTACTATAAATGTAGGGTTGTCGGGAAGATCAATAATGTAGATAAGAAACAAAAAACAGGACCAAGAATAGAACCTTGAGATACCCCAGAAGTTACTGGAAATAAAAAAGTAGGCCTTGACGATGATTATAATAAAGAAGTTAGAAAGAAATGATTTAATAATCCCAGATACACAATTTGAAGTTTCAAGTCTAATTTAAGTTTAATTGTTCAATATTTAGTTCATACTTAAGTTCATTTTATATTCAAAAGGTCCCTAATATTGTTTAAATGGTCCCTAAAATGTTTATATTAAAAAGGTAAACTTATTACTCAAATAAAGAGAAATTTTATATAAATCTTTTCTGAATTAGAATCTAAAAATAGATTAATACAAAAAATAACCACACCACATTAACAACACTGAGTAGTGATTTTTAAAGCACCATATCTATATATACATACATTGTTTGTCAAGGTTTGTGTTTCGGAGTTATAG